TCGGTAGATTTTTTTTTCAATCTTGAGCTTTAATCTAATTTTTTTAAGATTGAGAACCTTAATATTTTTTAAAATTACACAACAATGATATTTTTTTTTAAATATTTGTATTTCTTTTTAAATATCAGAAAGTTAATAGTAGGGATTTAAAAAAAAAAAATAAACTGAATGAAGACCTCCTCGGAGGATTTTCCCACAATTAAGTAGGTAGCATTATAACATAAAAAGACCCGTATTAGAGGGTGACCTGGCCCTCGATACTAGTTACAGCGGGAGTGATGGATTCATTTTCTTTTTTTTTTTATTAGAAATTCCCACTGTAACAAGGGTCATGTTTGTATATGTGATATAACTATTGTTATAAAATTTAAACAATCAATTACATATGCATAAAATTTCCTTATTTCCAAATGTTTCTTCATTTTCTGAGGTTCATGTATCTATTACTGTGTATTGTGCATATATACATATATGGTTTATACAGATGTTGGTGGCATTATTAATAATTTATTCCTTATTGAATATAGTAGTATAAACAGTTGAATTGGTGTGATGGAAGAGTAATACGCCTTGTGTACTAAACAATGTTAATTAACGTATCATTTTAGATTGAAATTATTTATCAGTTGATTAAGTGTATTGTCATATTATCTTGGAACTGTCTATGTATATTATATAATATTATACAAATTAATATATATTTAATAAAAAAAAAAAGTAGGGAGCTGGAGAACATCACGGAAAAAACATCTGTCCCTCCATCTCCTGCATTATCTTTAGTAGTGTTTCTCAAAAATATTAGAAATGAATGCTTTTCATAATGTTCCTTAAAACAATTATTCCAACAGATATCAGAAAATGTGCTGTGTTAACCAAAACACGTGTGTCTGCAAGGTTTTCATTTTTTATTGATTCCAATACGTCTCTGATTCCGTTGTTTATAATGTTTAATAGATTGCAGGGATATTAACATTAGAAACTTTCTCCAGCAAATTCTTAATTGCAATGGTCCTGCCCCCCCCCCCAATCCCCCTCTACAAGAACCGAGGGTATTTTCAAACGTATTGTAATCACCAGTGGTTTCTTCATGGAACAGATGATGAAATACTGATGAATTAGCCGATTCCTGCGATAGCAGAGAATGACGGGGGGGGGGGGGGGTAGCATCAGCACTTGCTGAAAAAGCATTGCAATGAGTAAAATCAAACATTGATATTGCATTGAATAAGTACCACTGTGTTAAATGTTCTTTAGGTTCATTTCCATAATTTTCAGAATGGTACACACTTCAGAACCCATTGAGATTTTAAAGTATTATCAGAAAATCTTCATCCAATGCAGAAAGCTCGATGTCACGGATGAATCCGTAATGATTGAGGGAAATATTACGAGCGTCTTCATAAGCCGGCTGGTGATATTGGAAGATGCTTACGTAGAATTAAGTTCAGCCGATAATATACCCTTCCCGCTGGAAGTTACATTCCACGGGGAACAGGCAGAAGATTGTGGAGGGCCCAGCGAGAATTCTTCACCATTGTTGTCCAGGAAATTAAGGAGAGGATGTTGGATGAAGACATGTGAGGGAAGGCTGGCACGACAGATTCTTTTAAAATTTCTTTAACTATTTTTATCCCCTCCACGAGGTGGAATGTCTAATTCAGTAAGGCTGGCGATAATTTTCAATCAAAACGAGGACGAATAAGTGGAGGGCGACTTGTCATTTTCCTATTCAAATCCCTTTGAGAGGTCGTACGATAGGTGAGATCTCGTCCCATAACAAACTCGGACTATGAATAACTCGGACTATTACGGAGTCGGCCTACACAAACTCGGACTATAACAGAGTCGACCTACAGCGCAAAATCTAATTATCTTAAGATGTAAATCAGACTTTATTCATGTTATTTTTTCTGTAAATCTGTTAATGACCTGATATTTTCACACTAAGTGATAAATTTTCCGTTCCTACTAAACAGAGTACAATAGAGTATATTTGAGAGTATGCTGGTAAAATATAACAAGTTTAACGCAATATAAAACTGCTACTGATTTATTTATTTGTACATATTTTTTTAGTTAACTTGTATTATTTTTTTATGCGATAGAGATTTCTAAAAAATAATTATGTTAAATTGGTGCAAATAACAACATTTAACAAAAAAAAAAAAAAACCAGTTTAGATGTGGTGATTACAATTGTAGGAGTTTACATCAACACTTGGTGTATACATGTATTTTAGATTAAAAAATTGGATCATAAATTTGTCAATTATCTGTGTCTGTTTTTTTATAACTTGAATGTCATTGATTTCTATTTTCAGCATTAAAGCAATATCAATTTTACAAGCTGCGATTTTAGTTTATTTCATATTTCCTTCCATGACCGAACAGAAAAATTTTGAGGGGGCTCTCTACACCAACAACGTAGGGAAGATTTTTGATGCATGTATTCACTTTCAATAGTGGAGTCAATATCCAAGAAAATAAATTCCAAAAGTATCAAGCTTTATTTTATTTATTTTTTTAAATTTTGAATTATATAATAGAAATCTCTATTTTTTCACTTTTTTCAATGCTTAAGGTTTTAATTTTGTATGTAAATACATTGTTATGAAAATTTAAAATAAAAAAACAAAAACATCAGAAATGAAGTTTGAATATTTTTTTATTCAAATCTACAAAAAAGAGAAATAAAAACACTAAAAATCACTCTCAAGGAAATATGCTGGTTGGAATCCTACAAAACTCTAAAAATATAAATAATATTCATAGGTTAGTAAGATGAAAGAAAAAAAAAATTGAATGGAATTGAAAAAAAAAATGAGACATTACAAAAATCATGGTAGGAAAGATCCTATTAAAGAATTTTCTTTCTTTATTTTACTTGGACTCAAATATCTTGGTATCAATTTCCCCCCTTTTTTAAAAATATAAAAATGGAAAAGAATTAATAATACAAAGAATTATTTAAGAAATAACAGTAATACATGTAATTTAATGCAAAAAAGGGTTATATATATATATATATATATATATATATATATATATATATATATATATATATCGATCTATCTCTCCCTCTCTCTCTCTCTATCTATATATAACGAAAGAAGTACTTATGATCATAAGCAGCTGTTACTAATAAATAAGAAAAAGCCACTATAGCTACAATGATATATATATAGTTATATAAGAAAAAAAAAACAGAGAGAAGCAAAACAACTGCCAAGACACACTTTGCAAATAACACAGAACAAGCACATACAAAGGATACACAAAACAGAAATATTTGAAAATGGCACATGGATATTTTAAATATGAAATAAAGTGATTAAATTTGAAAAATTGCAAAATTTTAGAGAAGACAAGAACAGAACAAGATATACTTACAAACAAACATGAACTGAAGCACACATAGGACACACAAAACAGAAAAACTTGAATGATACATGAATATTTTCAGAAATGAAATGATCAAACACAATGATTAAACACACAGAAAAAAAACTATAGTTACCTGTCAGGTCTGTACAGAATATATACACAGTGTCCAAGACAAATGGGATCATACTTACTTTCATTACTTGTCTTACTGATACCCCTGTTATAATATAACAATTATGTAAAAGCTATTAAAGGTACATGTGTATTTAATTTTTTGTTAAAAAGACAAGTAAATGAATAATATCTTTGCAAATAAAACAAACACCTTGATTAAAATTCCATGTTAAGAAAAATAACTTCAGGAAGAGAAATGAGTGACAAACTTTGCAAACACAGACTTTGTTCTGGTCACCCTTACCACTCCTTCAGAGTTTGTTTCACTCAAAATATTCTCAATTCCCTCTGGTCCTCCTCTTTCATATGCCACTTTCAAATGTTGGTAAGTCAAACCAGACTAGGCTATTTTTCTTAACATGTAATTTGAAACAATGTTTATTAATGGTTGCAAAAATACTAAGCATTCATTTGTCTTTGATTTGTACTCTATTGAAGATATTGTACACTAAAACTGTGTTTTAATAAAATATCACAGCTTATATTTAAATTCAATTCAAAACTAATGACTGCAATGCCTGTACATCTTCAAGAGCTGAGTGGGCCTTATAGGACATAGACATACAATCTTTAACTAAAGTTTCCAGCTTGTAGCACTTCCTACCTGGCAAAACTTCCCTTAGCAAATACAAACTATCAACAAAACCTTTAATAGGTAACAAATTACATGTACAATTTAAAACAGCTTTCATTAATATGATTGCATCGAATGCCCGTCCATTGTGACAAACAAGTAAGGGTTTGTTAAATTGTTTCAACCACTCTGTAAACTCTGCTAGGCATCTTTCAATAGATAAACCTTCAAATTTTTCCTTGTGATGAAACATCACCCCATTGACAACATGTAATCCAGTTATAGCTGTGGCGCGTGCTGTTATTGGTGATTTAGGAATAACATACCTGTTAAAACTTTCTTTTTTAGTCACACATGCCAATTGAGTGATGTCACAAGAAATACCTTTAAAAAAATAGTAAACAAGCATTTTTTTTTTTTTACAAATATTTATGATGTAAATATAACATGTATTTTAGCAATATTTGACAAATTGCTCTGGTACATTGCATATCTATTTTTGATTACTACAAAGATAAGTATTATCTACCCAAGCCAGTTGTCTCTCGGTCTAAGTAAAGAAATGTATTCTTTCCATTTTCCACCACTTTGAGTGTTGGTGGGACTGTTGCAGGTATTTCCTGTGTGGTTTCTAAGGATGTTGTAGGGTTTAGGTCTACTGCGGTCTGATATGTTGTGCCTTCCTTTACTTCAGCTGTTGACACCTATCATTTTTAATACATACATGTAGCATTGGAAATGGAAATGTGCAACTCATGTATTCTATGAATACAAGTTCTGTTATATTACCATTACAAAACATATGTTTTAAAACATTGTTGAAATTAATGCAGAGTTTATATCAGCAAATATTTTAGCACTGACCTGTTTAGCTATTGATGACTTCAGTTCATAGCGCCGTTTTTTGTATGCTGTACTGGCCTTTCTGTTCCTGCTATACTGCCTTTTCTTTGATGCCCAAGTAAGAAACAATTGTGTATTCTTTCCCGGCGACAGTAATAAGTTGTCATAAACCTACAAGTATAGCAATATGTATAACATAGAAAAGAACATGTACTTCGTAAAAAATTAAGTAACTGAAAAATATCAACATAAATACATGATGAAAATAATGAATATCTTATAACACAGATTAAACTTTAAGATAAGACACAAACCTTGGAAAAAGCATCAGTGCCAATATTCTCTTGTGCAACAGCTGCTGCAACCCTGAATGCAGTGGACTCAGAACCACCATAAAAGCGGTTCTTTGGGTTTTTTGAGGAAACTATGTTGTTGAAGCTCTCATATCCTTGAGTGCTGCCTATGTTAAGTAATCTATCAGCATTCTTGCTGAAAGCATCAAAGATATTTTGGAGGTCCTGTATTAGATCTTCTTCAGTTAAATATTTTCCATAAGGCAGGTTTCTTGGTTTTTATAATAATGGTTGCTTTACAAAACTGAAAATATGTTTTGAAAATATACATGCACACTGTATATTAAGAATTATCATACTTCCATTAATTAAAAGAAAAATGTTTTTCATTTTCTTAATTTTTGTTATCATTATAAATCTCATAAATTACTGGATCTTACCCACACCAGTCTCCACATTGAAAATGGTCCCCTGATACATGTAAAGGGATAGCTCGTAAATTAGTCTCCATTGACTCCCTATCTGTGTTACCCTTTACAACGTAGGCAAAGCATTTAGTGAGGTGTTTTATAGTTTTCGGACCTAAAGCAGTGTATTTCTTTTCTTTTCTTAATTAGTCTGTTTGTAAAGTTCTTTTTTGTATGGTTGAAATCACAGACTTTCTCAATATTTTCGTCAAATCCTGCTTTTGCTCTGAAAAAAAAAAACTCAAACAAATAAATGTTAATAAAAATTAAATATAAAAGTTATCTTAATGTTTGCAAGTGATTTTTCCATATGCAACATTCTAAACTTTATCATAGCAATGTACCTGGAAAATGTTGTTGAATCATTATCCATAATCAATTTCTTAACATGGAACCCTTTCTGTTTGAGGTCTTGTAACATCTGTATTAAAACAAGCATATTGTTTTGGTTTTTAATTAGTGCATTGCCACAATTATGTTCTTTAAAAATGCTTTTTACTGCGATTCATGTTTTATCTTTACAAAAAAAATCTTAAAGAATGCTTTACCTCTATTGCCATATCAGATTCCATTGCTTTGGATGACTTGTTCCAATTTTTACTGCAATCATGTTCTTTTATAGCACTTTCACTGGCAGTTTGACAAAATCTGCATGCCTTGCATCTATATGAATATGTTAGTACTTTCCCTGTGTTTACTCCAATCATACCACCATGACCTGAAATTTGTGAATAAAAAAAAGAAAAGATATATATATATATATATATCACATATGTAAGATATAAAGTATAGGTTTGTCCAATTCTAAGAATTACCTGTGAGACTGTGAGACTGGCATAGTTTCTGCCACTTCCTCGAGTCTGCCGTCCAGCATCAAAACTGACAGCCTCAACACAGTCAGTATTTTCACAGCTGAGGTTTCAAGAATGACTGTAATATTAATTTGTTGTCCAAATTATATAACATTATTTTTAAAAATGGATCTTTTTCCATAAAAAGTATCTTTTATTAGCTCAAAAAATATTTTAAAATGATATAAGAAAGCAATTAAGAATATTTTCAAGATTACCCGTCCTTTTCCTCTATTTGTGCGTCTTGGCGTGTTTCATCTACTACTGCCTCCAAAGCTATACCTGCCTCTCTTTCTCTTTCTTTTTTAATGTTGTAGGTGGAACAGATGGTAAATTGAGTGCTCCAAGCAAAGTATTTACCACTGTTTCCCCAATGCCACAGAAAAGCATTGCTGAAACAGGAAAAGCAAGTTATTAAAGCTTGCACTCTTCATACAGATATAAACAATTATAATAAAAGTTTTTCTTATTTGAAAGATTAACTTTACCTGCACCCAATTTGGAATTCACATCCCATATATTTGACTATTGTCGTCAAGCACCATCTCTTGAAGAAGATCTTGAGGTAATACACAGATCATGTAGTTAGGCGTAAATTTTGTCTTTGATCTTGGGGGCATATTGTTTTTGTCATCTCTGACCATCTTTCATTCTGTATTTTTGTCCCCCACTTTCACTGAGAGTTGGGAATATTAAGTTGGGCCTGAATGTGTATCTGTCTGTCATTCTGTCTGGTTTGTTACACTTTGTGTCTGGAAGATATGTCAAATATAGCTTTTGAGCTTTTTCAATTTAATTTCATATCTTTATTCCCTATGTTTTTAAGAAGTCCCCTATTGATTTTGAAGTCCAAAGTTAAGGTCATGAATACACACATTTTGTCGGTGTATGAAACTAGCGTTTCCAGGCGATATCTTAAAAAAACCTATGACTTTGCAATATAATTCTATAATTTAATATTCTATTTGTATTGTGTAGTTTGAGTGGATAAAAAATAAGCTTAAATTGTATAATGAGAAGTTTGGAATTGAGAGATTTTCTACAGATCCAAATTTGATAAATTTTACACTGGTTTTTAGCTCACCTGAGCTGAAAGCTCAAGTGAGCTTTTCTGATCACCCGTTGTCTCCGTCGTCCGTCCGTCTGTCCGTACGTCTGTAAACTTTTCACATTTTTGACTTCTTTTCAAGAACCACTGGGCCAATTTTAACCAAACTTGGTACGAAGCATCATTTGGTGAAGTGGAGTTTAAATTATAAAAATGAAGGGCCATGTCCCCATCAAAGGGGAGATAATCAAAATAATACAAAAATTGGGTGGGGTCATTAAAAAATCTTCTTCTCAAGAACCACTGGGCCAGACAGGCTTAAACTTACGTGGTATCATCCTGGGGTAGTGTAGATCCTAAATTGTTCAAATCATGACCCCCGGGGGTAGGGCGGGGCCACAATAGGGAATCCAAGTTTGACGTTGAAATATGTAGTAAAAATCTTTAAAAATCTTCTTCTCAAGAACCACTGGGCTAGAAAGGCTGAAACTTATGTGGAAGCATACTGGGGTAGTGTAGATTCTAAATTGTTCAAATCATGACCCCCGGGGGTAGGGCGGGGCCACAATAGGGAATATAAGTTTAACATTGAAATATATAGTAAAAATCTTTAAAAATCTTCTTCTCAAGAATCACTGGGCCAGAAAGACTAAACCTTAAGTGGAAGCATACTGGGGTAGTGTAGATTCTAAATTGTAGGGAATCCGAGTTTTACATTGAAAAATATAGTAAAAATCTTTAAAAATCTTCTCAAGAACCACTGGGCCAGAAAAGCAAAAACTTATGTGGAAGCATTCTGGGGTAATGTAGATTCTAAATTGTTCAAATCATGACCCCGTGGGTAGGGCCGTGCCACAATAGGGAATCCAAGTTTTACATTGAAATATATCGTAAAATTCTTTAAAAATCTTCTTCTCAAGAACCACTGGGTCAGAGAAGCTGAAACTTATGTGGAAGCATTCTGGGGTAGTGTAAATTCTAATTGTTCAAATCATGACCCCTGGGGATGGGCGGGGCCACAATAAGTACTGGGGGGGGGGGGAATCAGGTGAAAAACACCAAGGTCAAAGTTACTCAGGTGAGCGCTGTGGCCCATGGGCCTCTTGTTCTAATTATGATATTTTTTGTGCTGTATATAATGTTGTTGAGCCAACAGCTTCAAATATGATTAGGTGGTCACGGGTTCACAGAAACAAGAATATTGTTTGTACCCTTTTAGAGAAGAATTTTTGCCAATTGTAGATTCGTTTTTTATGTTTTTGTGTAGAATTAGACAAGTTTTTTTTTTAAAGAAGATTCAGCACAACGTTTTTGTGTGTCTCAAAGTACTGTTATTCGAATTATTATTACTTGGAGTAATTACTTGTATTGTGTTTTGGGATATTTACCTATATGGCCAGATTTAGATATTGTCAGACAGAATATGCCAGAATGTTTTAAGGCTACTTTCCCAATACACGAGTTATTTTGGATTGTACAGAAATACGTGTGCAGACTCCAAGTGCCAAAGTACTTAACTCTCAGACATATTCTAATTACAAGTCTCATACTACCTTTAAAGCTTGATTGATATAACCCCTCATGGTGCTGTATGTTTTGTTAGCAGATTATTTACTGGCAATATTTCAGATAAAGATGTAACACAAAGAAGTGATATACTTGATCTTTTAGAACAAGGTGATGATGCGATGGCTGACAAAGGTTTTTAATTCATGTTGAAAGAGCTATCAGATGTAAAGAGTACCATATTTTTGATAATGTTGCTGGGACTGTAAACCAGATTTGGTCTGTTTGTTGTTCATTAACCAATTTTAAAGAAAAGTTATTTTGAGAGTTATTTTCAATTGTTAATAATGCTGAAGTGTGTTACATGTAAATGAACATCATCTGCATATTTGAATTATACTAGACATGTACAAGTGAAATAGTACACATACATGTATAAATTTAAAGCAGAAATATGCCCTAATTGCACAACTTTAATTTTTTTTGCATGCTTTGGGAAATTTATTTATCTTTGTAAAGTTCCCTTAATTTGTATTTCAAGAGAAAAAGACTTTTTTGGAAACAGATTTTATACCATGAGATTTTATCAAGTTTTCTGTAACCAATTTTGAAAATCTAATACACATATTTTAAAATTTGATTTAAATACAAGTATTTCTGAATTATACTGTATGTTTAATGCTAACATTACTTTACTTCATCAGTACTTCTGGTATTTAACACATTTGATACATTTTTGAAGCCTTTTTTTTTAAATTAAGATTCACTTTGTATGATTTTTTTTTGTTTTTGAAGGAACAAGCACATAAATGACAACTTTTTGAAAAGAACAAGCTTTTAATGAAGAAATTTGAATCTACAGTACCTTAAGATACTGGCATATTAATTCATGTATGACTAATTCCTGATATTCCTAAATATTTCCCCCATACATGTGTATATTTTGATGTGCTATAGAAGTTAAGATATTTGAACAAACTTGGATCTACACTATATAAGGAAGCTTTTGCCTTTTCTGGCTCAGTGGTTTTTAGAGTTAGAAAAAAAAATTATGATGCCAAATTTCCATTATTTCCCAATCATCTTCCCATTATATATATAGAGTGTATTTCATTTAAAATAAATAGATGACAGACTTCCTTTAATTAGAGAAAGCTTATTTGAACTTTTGGATTGGCTAAACAAAGAAACCAAACAAACAAAATAACAGCATGCATGTACTCACATGTACTGTTTTTTTTTTCTTATAATCCATTATAGATATTATATTCAGTACTGAACACATGTTGGTAAATAGTAATGGAAGTAAAACATGTCAGGTTTTTGTTTCATTTCCTGCCACTTTCCAGGTACAAAGTTAATTCTTTCTAGATGGTAGTCGTCTCGACACCATATGAACAAATCACACCACAGAGCACCGGCCAAACCCATTTGACCCATTATCTGATAATAATATTCATGGGAGGATTTTAGTTTATAGCTGTTATTGACTAAGAGTTAAATATTTTAAATTCGTAATCGAGTCTGCATTTGGACATTTTATTTCTAGTAGCCCATACATGGGTACAGAGTTGGGATCTATGACTTTCCTGTCAGGTGAAGTTCCAAGATGAAAACATGAGGGATTGATAACTAAGCCTGCTTTAAACACATTGTTTTCTGTAATTGTGGCGTATGCTTCTGCTGCCTCCTGTCCATGTTCAAGTCCAAATTTCATTGCTGCTGTTTGAATTTTATTATTTTTTTAATAATGCGTCAACCAAAGTTTCAAAATCTTTTTTCCGTGAACAAACTCTTTTGAATTTAGATGAAGTAATTCTGTGTTTTCTTGCTGAATTCCAGTAGGGACTTTTAGACTGTTCAATTGTATTTTGTTCAATGTCTTCAGAATCGGTTTTAGATACAGTAAGTCCTTCATAAAAATTTTGTTCACCCAGATTTAGAACTGTATTGAAATTTTGATCAAGTGTAGGTAAAGTGTAACCAGGATAGGTAGGAAAAGCAGGATTGTTTATAATTGTTTCAGTACTGTCGTCAATTTTCTTTTGCTGATAAGAAAGAAGGGAACCTCTAGGTACTGGTCCAACTTTTGATTCAATAGTCTCAATGGAATTAATTTTGGAGGAAGGTGACAGTATGGTTTTAAATTGAGCATTTGTTGTCATCAGGTTTTCATTGAGAGATTCTAAGATGTTCTGATATGGAATTGGTTGTTGTATTGGACGATAAAATTTTGATTTCACACCATCTGTTCTTTTTAATTTTTTACACGTAATTTTCTGAATTTGTACATCCTCAACTGCTTCCGGATGAATGCCCTCTAATCTTTGAGGTATGTGCCATGTTTGAGGCATTGATGTCTTAGATTTGACACATGGTACTGTCTTCAAATCAAGTTTTGATAGTGAGCTAATGTGTACATAAGGCCTAAATATGGCTGCAATGTCCAGAGCCAGCTTTACATGTGCAGTTAGAACTTTCAACATTGGTACCAGCTGCAGATTTTAGGAAAATTTGCAAATTATGTGGGGAATCATTTTTCCTCATAGAGGGAAAACACTTGGCTCTAATACAAGCACCAGTGCCCCCTGATGTACATGGTCTCACTGAAATAATAGAAGAAGCTTGCTTAGCTTCCTTGTAAATGAAATTGATAAGGAAACAGAAAATAAATCTAACCAAGTAAAAAATGGAACCGATTTCAGCAAATGAAAATAAATTTAGACAAATAATATGAAACAAAAAATGTATTAAAGAAAAATACAATTTGGGATTCATTTGCTACATGTACTAGGAAAGAAAAGCAAAGATGATCCATTTGTTAATTGCATGAATGTAAATTTCAGCTGTATAAACACTTGAAATTGGATTTCTTGGTATAATATACACTATATACTCTGTTATATATGTACAGGAATTTGACGTTTGTGTATATGGTAGTGTGGAACATGTTACATGTACACGTAGAATAAGCTTATAAAGACAAGAGGAAAAAGATATTTGCTTAATCAGTATTTTATTGCAACCAAATAAAAATGTCCCTGGTTAATTCTCAGTGCATCAATTCTACATCAATTGATGTCTCTGACCACATCAATATGTTCCTGAGGATTGTTTTTTTAAATCTGCATGTATATTCACTTCACATCCCAGTATGCATAATGAAAATATCATTGAAATCCATTGCTCTAAATCATAATCATAGCTTGTCTTTCATTCTTTGAAGTATGTGGTATATACATGTGCATTACTCAATCTGATTTATAGTACACCTGCACATCTTCAAATTTGCAGGCATCAAAAACGCAATTATATATATACATCATATTTAATTTAAATGAAACATCCCCAGCAATCCGAGAACAAGACTTAAACTCACAACAAGGTTGATAAAAATTTAGAATCCTAAAATTTGAAATGTGTTTGTATAAGGTGTACATGTATTTGAATTTAATATGTGGTAAACATATGGTTACCATCAATACACTATTAAACTACTTTATATATATATATACATGTATATTTCATGTGTATGTGCATACTGGAGGTTAACACAGTGCTTTGTTTATTTTAAAAATTCCATTTTCTATTTGAAATGCCTTGCAAATTTCAAACGGGAAAAATCTAAAAAAAAAAAAAAACAAAAAACAAAGCAAAATCAAGAAATATAAATAATAATTGAAAAAATAAACAAAGACATATACATGTAAATAGTTTATAAATTTATTATAAACAAAATAAAAAAATCCATGTATTAATAAATGACATGAGATAAATAACCTCAGCATCATAACATTTACGTAAGGAACATGCATTCTTTGAACAGCTGACTGCATAAATATTTCGATCTATAGGCTCTATATAAACCACACCCACCTTAGTGTACATTTCACATAACGTGACAATAAATTTCTTTATATTTTTTCCTTAACCCCTTCACTTCCACACCGGTCAATTTGACCGGTGGCACGTTATAACACGACTTCGCGAAAATTAGATCTCTGTATTTATTTCATGAAAGCATAAAGGTATATAAACTATATATCATCTTTTTGGAAATTTTCTCTACTTTAAAACTATGTAGAAAATCTATGTCTTAATGTCGGTAATAAATAGATTATACGTTTTCAAGACATACATGACTTTTTGAAAATGGCGCAATTTTCCAAAGCAATTGACGATTTTCCCGACGATAGACATTTTTTTCCTGATTAATATGATAAAGAAAGAGTGATATATTCTTAAAGCATATTTTCTCTGCTTTTGAAATATGTAAAAATTATTATTACTTTAAAATATTTTGTAAAAAGAATTTTCTTGCACTTGTGTTTTTTCTCGTAATATTTAAACAAAGCTCAGGTTTACGTGTATTTTTGTATTGAAATTGGGAAAACAAAATAAAGCTGGTAAAAGTAGAGAAAATTTCCTTTTCAACAAGCCTTTACTGATCTTCTCACTCTCAGTATTTTCTTAATAACGATAGTTTGAATTTGTGACCTTCGCATAATTTTTATAGAACAATATTTAACGTCAAGGTCGATTCTGTTGCGTCTTACTCGGAACAAAATATTGTTTTATAACATAATAAGTACTATTTTAATATATACTTTTAATGAAATAAATGCTTAATACAAAGTAATTGTTTTGAAAAACATATATACTATCTTTCTACCTTTTGTGAAGTTTAATTTTTTAATGTAATGAATTTATTTATCTATATCACATGTACAATAATGTTGATACGAAATGTAGATTCCCTAAACGTCTTTACGTTGAAAAAAATCAGATTCAATATTGCTGTATGTCATATATTTTCTTAATATGAAATTTAATTAAATCTATACCATGTATACTGACACGGAGTTTAACAACTTTGAAACAAGCACAAAAACTCGCATTTACACGACTCATCACTGTAAGAGTTGATACGAATTGAGATTACCACGTGTTTCCACTGTAGCAGTAAACAACAACATGATGATGTTTTCATGATTATTTTACAACGAAGAAAATCACTTCAATGCATCAAATAATACGGTCTTTCCTTTGGTATTAGAGGTGAGTAAATATAGACTGAAGAGTTAAAACTGTCTTTAAAACGCATTAATTCACATTCAAATGAAAAAATGTACACATGTACTAGGTCTTCATGTATCTAGGCACAGGAGTCAGCAGTTTTATCAGGGACCTATATACTATATATAGTATACAGGTCCCTGGTTTTATCCATAAAACAAAGTAAACACTAACCAGTGAGCTTCGCGGGCGTAGCGAGCTCGCTCGCGAAGCTCAATGGTTAGTGTTAACATTGTTTTATGGTTAAAACTGCCGACTCCTGTGATCTAGGCTTTACCCTGTTTCAGTGTTTGAATCTCGTATTTTAGATTGAAACTAGTTCAGCCAATTTTGTGTTGCTTTTGAAGTGTATACTTTTGACGACCACCCTTAAGTACCTTTCAAAGTAAAATCAGGTTGGCATAATAATTAATGTAGAGTTGTTGTCAGTATGTGTGTACATACACTATCAAATTGAATTTTTAGGGCACTGGCACCATATGCTTCAGTATTTTCATCTGTGAAGACCCAATTGCTAACCCCACCATGCACTAGTAAGATCATTATGTGGGGACACAGGTGCTTATTATGACCAATGAACAGGTAAATTTGTGTTTTGGTAGTGAAAGTTTCTGTATCTCTAAAAATTCTAAATAAAGTGAAATTTTATTTGCATTCTCTTGATATTGCATTCACACAAGTTTATAAGAATTTGATTTATATTTTGAAAAAAGTGTATGATACACATGATATTTATGATTCATGATTATACCTTTAAACACACTATTTAAACACACAATATTTATTCAGATTTATGCCCAGAAAGGGAACGAGCAGTCTTTTATAGACTGCTGTGGTATTTCAATCTAGTAAAGTATGTGGTTAGAATTTCCATTTTCTCAATTTTTCAGTCATTTTCGAATTATCATGTACATGTATACATGGATGGACAAACTATATTCACTGGATGGCTATATATCAACACTCCTATGTACACGAACAGCCTTGCCCCAGGAATTTTGCCCTGAAGTAACAGTTTTCAGTCCATTGTGTCCTTTCTCTTAACAACCCTGACATCCAGGTATGCTATTTCTTTTAGTTCAATAATTCAACCATGATGGTTTATTACTAGGTTGATGATTTTTCAGTCCTGATACATTGACTTAAACAAATCATTTAACTACATGAATCACATAAATATACTTTTGATTTTAAAAGGAAAATTACATCAATGTATTAATTGTAGCATTCTAATTCTATATATGTAAATTCACATAATCTGTTTCAAAATATTTATATCTTTTACAGGATAGTAGCTGATTACATGTACTTGACAGAAAATGATCATGTCTTAGACAAGTCAAAGAAGTTCCTCGAGTCTTTCAGAGAAATGACGGTTGATGAAAGAATGGTGGTCACAAAGTAAAAGTGCTCTGGTCTTCAACATTTTGTGAAAGATTAAATCAGTCTTATTTGGAATTCAGTTTGCAATATTTCTGGATTTGTATATTTGGATAAAAACATAACTTTTTCAACTTATTGACTAAACAGTTTTGCATTAGATATTGCCAATGCCATCTATTATTATTTTTTCCCTCCAAGATGACATGTCAAGTCTTTATTGTACCCCTTAAGCACTGTTACCAGAAAAATCTTGTAATGAAATCAATTAGTTTATTTTTTCTTGTTAAATTAAAAGTTGGGGGGAAAATCAATGAAGTATAGGTTATTGTTAATGACATCAAGAAAATGGATTTGTTTTTGTTTAACAGAAAAATTGTATACATGTTGTAGTTACTGTTATGTAATTTTACATCACTGTTCAGCCAGACCTTTTTGTCATTTTTTTTTGAGTGAGTGAGTGAGTGAGAAAAAAAATGTAAAAACCTTTATTAGCCACATCTTTCATGAAATGTATAGGACCTATGGGTCTGTCAATTTCTGTCAATTTAATTTGCTAGTAAATATGCATCATAAATTGGAACAAAGTTGCACTAGTGGAAAGTACTGTTTATTTTTTAATTTACTTGATATTATGGTTGTGATTTTTTTTTTTAAATTAGAACACAAGAAACCCTGTTTGTAAATTGTACTTTTTGACAACCTGATTTTTACTTACTTGCATTGTCAATTTATTATTGCCTTGAAAGACCAAGTCAAATGTTTCTTATCAAACATGGCT